CTCCCACCAACAGTGAATAAGGGTTCCAGTTTCTCTGCAACCTTACCAGCATTTGATGTTTGCTGTTCAGATAAATGTTGCTATTCTTACTGGGGTGACATTATATCTCGTAGTTGTTTTTATTTGCATATCTCTTAGAACTAGGGATTTTGAACATTTCTTCATGTGCTTGTTAGCCATCTAAAAGTCTTCTTTGGTGAAGTGTCTGTTCATTTCCTGTGCCCATTTTTCAATTGGGTTATTTGTTTATCTTGTTGTGGTGATTGAGTATTTATTTTTATTAATTTTCATGAATGTTCACAGCGACTTAGGGTTTCTAGTCATTCATTGTTGCACTTTTCTCCCTGCTCACCCCCACTCCTCCCAATTCACTTTTCTTCTTGATAAGTAAAACTCTTTCATTGCCATGCAATCCCTTCCCCCAAGCCCACTACACTGTAAAGCCATCAAGACTCCGGTCATGACAATAATACCTAATCATACATCCCTTTAAACAATTCTCTCCCTCATCTGTTGCAATGCAGGATACATCATTCCCCCCTTCTTCTCTGTCTTCGCCCAACCCCAATGTCAGTCCTATTTTACAATAGTTGCCCTATGCAATATTTGTCCTTTTGCAACTGAAATATTTTACACAGCATAATGTCTTCTCGGGTCATCCACTTTTCCTAATATTTCATGAGTTCCCTAAGAAACAAGGTGCTCGAGTGTTTTATAAATTCTAGATATAAGTTCCTTGTCTGACATGTCACGACAAAATATTTTTTCCCAACCTGTGGTTTCCCTTTTTACCCTGTTGGAGAAGTTTTTGCATATGCATAGGGATTTGATTCTTAGAAAGTCCCATTCATCTATTTTATCCTCTCCTGGTTGTAGAATTTCTAGGATGCTTGGTAGACTGTTTATGTTGTTGTTTAGGACTTCTAGGGTTTTTCCAAGCTTTTCCTTAATGAAGTTTATAGTCCTTGGTTTTAGTCCTAGGTCCATAATCCACTTTGAATTGGTTTTTGTATATCAAGTGAAATGTACATCTTGCTTGAGTTTTCTGCAGATAGTTTTCCAATTTTGCCAGCACCATTTGTTAAAATGGCTGTCATTTCCCAACTTAACTGATTTTATCTCCTTGTCAAAAATCAGTTCACCATAGGTAGATGGGCTGATTTCTGGATTCTCAGTTCTATTTCATTGATGAGCCTTCTTTCTAAAGAACATTATGATAGTCCTTTTTACAAGAACTTTCCTCCATCATTTCTTTCCAAGTAAGTAATATATTTCATTCCTGAATATTCCCCCCAGCAGCATCTATGTATAAAGTAGCCATTTATATCATTTAAAAAGATATTTCTAATGAATACATTAATTGTAGCTGATTAAACCTGTTTCAAATAAAATATTATTAGTTAAATTTGGCACAATAGCAACTGACAACACAACAACTAAATACTCTAGATAAGAGATGAAGGTGATATACAGGAAGTGCTGGGCAGGGTCCTGTGTTACACAGTGTATGAGCTGCCTACTGCCTTTGTAACAAAAAAATCAAAAATGTAGTGACTTCAGAGAAAACAAAAATCAGTCTTATAAACTCAGAGGTGAGGTCAGAAGGCTAAAATGGATTGCTTCAGCTTCATTCTTTTAGTGGATAAATGTCAATTGTAAATCACACACAGAAAGAAAGCAGGGACACAAGGAAATGAATTCTGAAAAAGAGGCAAGTCTGAGGCAGAGGTCCTCTCACAGCTTAGCACTGTGAAAAGGCCCCTCTCTTAATCTCCCTATGATTTTTATTTGGTTTAAGCAAATCCTCCTTTAGAAGTTCACTCTCCAGAGACTCTATTTTCCTTATACTTAAGTGTTGCCAACATAACAATGGGTAAGCTTAATCTTTAAACTAAGACCAAAGTTCAGACATAGCTTCTCCTCGGGTGCAGGGCTGGGAGGAATTCTCTATTTGTAGAGGGCATTCAGTACCCCCCCCCCGGGGGGGACTGGGCAGAAATCTCTGTTTGCAGAGAGTCCTCAGCCCTGTGTGAACTCTGCTCTTACCTGTGGCCCTGCTAACACTATGCCATGAAATCACCAATGTCTTTGTGTTTTCAACTTTCTAGAGACCACTTACTGTCCTTGGTTTATGTTTCCGCATGGTTCTCAGCTCTGAGTCCTTCCTCACATTGCCTTTTCTGACTCCCGCTGTATCCAGGGCACTGACTTGTGAGAAGACTTTGTCCAGCAGCCCTAGGGAACGTTCTTTTCACCTTCCAGCAACTATAGGCTCAGCATTCCTTGGAGATCTATGCAACTTAACATCAGTCTTTCCCTTGGATCTAGAATGTTCTCAGCAAATGAACTCTTAGTCCAAACAGGCACTCTGTTGCCAAACTCTTCTTTCTGGTGGGCCCTCCTTCTCTGCTCACTCACTCTCCTTTAATCTCTTGGTAAATAAGAGGTGATGCAGACCACAGTCAAAGGACCTGAGTGAGGGTGTTGCATCTGATCCCAGTCCTCTTACACTGGGGATCAAATCAGCTCATAAAGTGGGATAACTACATCAGTGCATAGCTGCTGCACCACTGGAAATCACAGTCCATAGATGGTGACATGTATTTTAGGGGATGTAATTCAAACAATGATGGAACCTTTGCCTCCCTATTATAGGAGCCCTAGTGATTACATCACTCTATAATTCAGAATAATCCCCTGTACCATGAACTACACTTTAATTACATCAGCAGAGTCCCTTTTGCCTTTCACGCAGGCTGAGGACAGTGACAAGGACATCTATAAGGGTCATTATTCTACTGGTGAAGATGGATACTCAGAGCCGGCCTCTCTTTGAGTTGGACATAAATTAAATGCTGACAAGCCCTTGGACATTCTCTGAATTTCAAAGCCTTGCTGACCCGTGTTCTGCTCAGAGAAACCTTCCAAGCCCAGCTTCCCCAGCCCCAGGTCTCTCGCTCCCAGCCCCTATGGTCAGCACTAACCCCAGGAGAAGAGCAATTGGTTGTATCTCTTGGCTTCCAGAGGACAGAGCCCAGGTCTGAGAGTTCAGTGAATTCTAATTCGTGTCCATTGAATGAAAGGAGAAAAACTCTGGATTCCAATAACAATTGGTTTTTTTAATAAAGTGATGAAAACACTCACATTCACATTTCACTCTCCACCACTGTGGGACATAGAGGAAGAATATCTTCATTTCACAGAGGAGAAAACTGAGGCTCGGAGATGGTAAAGTCAGTGGTCTGAGGTAGCCCAGTAACACAACAGTAAAGTCAGGAACTCAAATCCAGGCCAGCGTGGCCCCAGGAGCACATTTCTGGGGTTTCTGGGAGGAAAAACACAACTAGTTCCCTGCAGTGTTGGGATAAATGGTTGAAGGACTCCATTCACTTGGCTCCCCGTAGCCAAAGAAATGCTGAGCATTGACCTGGATGCAGTACTTGCTCTGCGGCCGCACCGATTTAATCATTAAGGTGGTGTCTAGAGTGGGGCCCATCTGAGAATAGAGAGGGGATGGGTGACTTAAGAGCAGAGCATGAGGCAGCCCTCTGTCCTCCCCTCTATGCGATCTGACCTCATTTCAGCCAGCATTTCTCTCTCTCTCTCTCTCTCTCTCTCTCACACACACACACACACACACACACACACACTCCCCTTGGGCTCTTCCCTTCCTAACCTATTCATCTTCCAATGTCTGCCTTCACCCGCACATCTCAGCTGTACTTGAGCCCATTGCTGCACCCACTGTGTCAATCCATGCCCATGAGTGTCTTCCTTATTTTTGCTGACCTTCTGTTTTTCACACATGATGGGCTTCTCCAGGGAATGGCCCTTCATGATACCATTCCTGAAGAGTGTGATGAAATCTCACTATCCTTTCTTCTAAGAAAAGTTCGAGCTGCACTTCTCTCGAGACAGATGTGTTCATGCTTTGGTCACCCCACAGTGGATTCAATATTCTTCACCAGCACTCCTGTTCAAAGGTGTCAGTTCTTTAATCTTCATTATTCATTGTCGAGCTTTCACAAGCATAAGGGGCAGTTGAAGTCCCATAGCTGTGTCCGGCGCACCTTAGTCCTCAAAGTAACATCCTTTCTCTCTATTACTTTCATCTGTTTCCTGTCTCTATGGGTTTACTTTCTCTGGATATTTCTCCAAAATGGACTAACAGAGCATGCCATCCATTTTCTCTACCTAACCGTTTTCATTTGGCATCATGTCTCAGGCCCCAGCATATATCAGGACCTCATTTCTTTTCATGGCCAAATAGTAATCCTCTGTATAAATGGAGTGCGCTGTGTAAAACCACTCTCCGCTGAATGGACAGCAGGTTGTTTCCACCTGTTAGCCACCGTGACTCATGCTCTTCTGAACACACATGTACATGTGTCTGACCTTCACTTATTCTGAGCACACTCCTGGCAGTAAAACTACTTTGGTGATTGCGGCACGGGGAGGGCACACACAGGGCCATGAAGAGTCGACACTGACAACAAGGAGTCAACAGTCGCAACAAGGTGGGCTTCATGCTTCTGTGCAGACAAACCACCTGCTGATAGTCCCTGGGCAGGTCCTACTCCTGGCTCACACAGAGACCTGCAGGGAACTCCCATGTACAGAGGTGCATTTTCATTTTGTGGGTGGACTGCTGCGGCTGAAATTGCTGACTTCCTTTATATTACACACCAGTCACCCCACAGTGCACACAAGCTCTGCGGACCGTTCACAGTTTGCATGTCATGTCTCATCTACTGGGTAGATGCCATACCCAGTACCACTCCAGGCCCCTTTCTGCCCTACCCTTCCCCCCCCCCCTGCTCCTCACCTGCAGGAAGTGCTTAGCATTGCAGAGCTTGTAGCGAAGCTGGTATTTGAGTTTGTATGTTTCTGGGAGGAGCCAAGACACAGGAGGATTCCACTGCACCTGCAGTTGATTCCCAAGAATGGGGCTCACGCTGGTGATCACTGGAGGGTCCGGTTTGACTGAAGGACAAGAAGGCCTTCATTCATCGATTCAACCAACAATTATGTATTGAGAACCCCCTGAATGTCCAGTGTTGTCCCAGCCAGACACAGAAGTAACTGACAGAAACCACCCAGCTCTGTCCTCCTGGAGCTTCTACTTGTCAAAGAGACAGTGAGAAACAGGAGAGGATACAGCAGCTCACACAGAGCCAGCAGCAAAGTTTGGGAGTGGGTTGTCGTTTTGAAAACAAATTACATTTTAAGACGTGATTTTTTTTTTAAAAAAAAAATATGTGACCCATCCTCTTTCCCGTGCTCACACATGCCCTTGGTGGCCCATAGGGGCAGTGAGTACCCCACTCACCCAAAGTCACCCTTTTGTAGCATACAATTCAGGGTATTACATTCATTCACTAGGTTGTACAATCATCTCAGGTCTAATTCTAGAACATTTTCAATAGCCCCAAAAGAAACGCAGAACCACCAAGAGCCACTGCCCACTCTCCATTGCCCTAAGACCCAGGCAGCCTCTCATTGTGGTTTGCCTCTTCTCAATGCTGTGAGGAAGTGGACTCGTACAACACGTGGTTCTTTGTGACCGGCTGCTTCTACTCCTGCTCCTCCTGCATGGAGCAGCGCATTCCAGAGCTTCTGCCCTCTGCACGACTGAGTAACAGTCCATGGGGCAGCTGGACACATCGTGCTTCTCCATCTTGTGATGATGGACATTCAGGTTGCTTTGACATTTTGGGTTTTGGGAGTAATGTTGCTATGAACACTCAGGTACATACTTAAGTGTGACCCTGTTTCAGTGTTCTATTAACACTTCCAGTGAGGCAACTCTGACTGACAGCTACCCTTTAGAAAGGAGGAGAACCGAAACTTGGGGTTTCCAAGGCCAAGCAAGGATGGCACCACACAGACTAAGCTGTACCTACCTGACACCAATGTATTTTTAACTGCCACATATACATGAGAAAGTTAGGTAATAAGGAAGATCAAGGGAAATTTATGCCTTTGAATTTGGAGATTGTTGAAGAATATTGAATACACCACGGACTGCCAGACGGAACAGACAGATCTGTCTGGAGGAAATGAAGTCAGAGTGCTCCTTAGAATGAGAGGGCAGGAGACTTCATCTCACAGACACTTTGGGCATATTGTCAGCTAGGGCCAGTACATGAGAAAGCACACCAACCGTGGAAAAAGAGTGGGTCAACAAAAGTGAGGAAACCTCTTAATGAAGTAGGTTGGAATGAATGATCGAAGACTGCGACAATGGGGTGAAACAAGCAGCAGCTGTGGGGCTGGCTCAGGACCAGACACAGTGTCGCTCAGTCGTACATGGGGCCTCTGTGTTAAAGCTTATTCAACAGCGAACAACTGATGATCTAAATTGGAGACAGTTTCTCCAGGGAAGCTGCTTGTGGGTTTGAAGAACCCTCATTGGGTTAGCAGCCAGGTGCTTGAGCTGCTGTGCCTTCAGGGCTCCTTCTGTGTCGTATAGAAGTCTGTGATTAGCCTTCAGATGAACTGCTGACTCTTCCCTAAAGCTCATGCTTTGCTTTCCCACCAGCAGTGGATGAGGGTTTGCAAGTTTTAACACAGTGCTCAGGGAAGGCCCCATGGAGGAAGTGGCAGATGTGCAGAACTTGCAGCAAGTGCAGGGGAAGCCAGACTTTCTCTTTGGGAAAAGCCTTCCAGACAGTGGGAGCAGCCTGTGCAAAGTCCCTGTGGCACTATGGGCTGGGTGAGTTAGAGGAACCGGGAGGAAGCCTGGCTGTTTGGAGTGGAAGGAAAAGAGGAGCGATTTCTTCAACGAGATGGAAAAGGCAATCTCCAATTTCGTATGGAATGGG